TTTTATTAGGGTGGGAATATCAGAGAATTCATTTGCATCGCTGACCTTTCTGAAGTTTTCTGGGTTGCAGCCCCAGGTTGCAGGTGTTTTTAGACATGGCTTTAACATTGGTGAGTGTTCTGATTGTAAGGTGTCACTCCTGACCAGTCAGACTGCCCCAGATGAGTTGTGTGAAACAGCATGTGGGAAAACTATGGCAGGAAAATGCATGCTAAAATAAGGCAATCTTTGGTAAAAGATTCCAAAGGTTTTCCAAGTAGGATGGGACCCAGTTTACATGATTTTTAGACCAACAGCTCTGCTACAAAGTGTATCTAAGGTGGAGAAGTCAGAAATATCTTCACCATCTCATACAAATGACATAATCCCTTACACCACTGCAACCATAGTGGATATAGGGTTGAAAATTCTAGTCCAGGGGAAAGAGCACCACCTATTTGTCCTTCAAGACCACTTACAGCAGCAGCCTGGTTTTCTTTAGTAGTATTTCATCTCACTATTGAGTAGACCCAGCTTGTGTATCATCTGATGAGTTCAGGATAAACCTTTCACTGTGAAAGACAGTGTTTCTGACAAGTGTAAACTGAGGCAGATTCAATAGCTGATCATCATGATTGTCCTATATATATATAAGAAATTTGCTGTATGACAGTGTAATATGATGTTATATATTCAAGTTTTAAAGAACACTATATATCAAATGTTTGTGTCAATAGTGGTTTTATCCAAAGCAGGTACTGAATTTCATTGGGAGGAAAAAAGGAGTCAATGAAATGTTCCCCATTTCCTGCTGTCAGGCATGATGGTAGATCCATCATGCTATAGGCCTGCTTCTCTCCTGCTTTCAGGGGCTGAAAGCTTTTGCTGGGTCAAAAGAATCACACATGTATGACAGCACCAAGACAGTGAAGGGCATGTCAGAAACCAGTATGGCTTCACTTTTCAGCATGACAGTAGAGACCAGAATCTTTACAACCAAACCAGCAATGCAAGGTCCAGAGCAGAGCTGGATCAAAAACCAGCATGGTTTACCAGTCCTGTTTGTTACATGTGAATCTGAAGGAAATGGCCAACAGGTAATGCACAGATTGGACGGACACAAAAGATTCCTGCGTGATAGAATGAAGAGTTTTTGCATTACAAAAATTGCCTGTAATAAACCATGTTCTGCATCATTTATGCCAGAACGAAAATTTCTTCTGTCTTTCACTATATCTTATAGGACAGTCAGGTTTGAATTGTTTGGTAAGTATTACAGCCATATCAGTTACAGTCTTGTTCCTGTTGACTTAATTCTAGCAGCAGCGTGTACCAATAATGTCAAACACTTACATCATCAAATCTGTGGAATACTAAAAACTGGAAAGCTCCCTTGTTTTAAACAAATGTCATTTATCTTTCTGTTAGCCTTCAGCAGTCCATGTTGATTACTCAGCTTTGTATTAAGATACAAAATGGAATCTTAAGCTTAGAGAAATTGAAGTGTGCAAAGTTCTGAATTTTTACACATCTTTTCCAGGATGAATACGGTAGCTTTTAAATGAAAGGTTGATGTATGAAGTTTTAAAATTACTATGTTGACTGTATAACTTTTACAGCACTTTGTTTCCTGTTGGTGGAATAAAGAAATACACTTGTCCAAAAAATGAATAAGTAGCTAATATATAGGTCCTAAACGTTCAGTTTCTGAAATGTGAGAAGAAACAAAATAAACTTTGTACTCTGCTAAGCTTTATAAATCTTGCCTTCTGATCATTTCTGGTATGGCTAACTGAAACTTGAAAGCAGCAGGTTAGAGCTGCAAAAAGCAGAAAATCTAAATATTAAACTAATTACTGCCTCTTGGCTAGGAAAGTGCTTTTCAATCTATTAATATCTGAAAACTTACTGGTGGTCTCACTGTAAAGCAGATACGAAAACAACCCTCTGTTACACTTGACTGCAGATCAAATGAACTGTGAGCACCTTTATTTTTTTAAGGTCTTCAGCTGAGTTGTGGATGTGGTTTAGTGTTTAGACCTTCACGATGGCTCGCTCCTGGAAAGTGCCGAGTTCTCCTCTGAGCCAGAGTGCCCACAGAAACACTGCACCAGGTCTAAATATCATCCTAGATTGAGACTGCTTGAGTTTGATGTGCCCATAAAAACAAGTGCAAAAAACTTTTCATTTCAAATGCTTAAATTGTGGTCTGGATTTATTATGAAAGGCGTGCTTGACAGTATTAGCATTATAAACTTCTGCTTTGCCAGCGTCTTGTTATCGCCACTCTTGAGCGTTGCCGCACCGGTATGAGACTTGTCGCCGTGGGTGAGGGAGTCATCGTTCGGCGTGAGTGTGAGTCAGCCCGCAGATGCATCTCTTCTGCATTACTCAGAGTGATGCAGCCATGTCGAAGAAGGAGAGGGGGAGCTGTGATTGGGACTGAAAAGGTTAAGTGTTAGAAGTTCTCACTTTTGCCTGTAAAAGATTAACAAGTTATCGACCGAGCGGTGACCCCAGGGAGTGTGTGTTCACTAGAGAGGCTGCTATCTTGATGGTTACTGGGGAGACTGCCCCTTGATTTGGGTTCGTTCAGCCAGGACCCCAGACAGGGGAGCAGAGGCACGCAGCCTGGCTGGCTTTGATCTGCCGCCCTGAGCTGCTCCCTTGCTTTCCTGGTGTTTTCCACAGTTTTCAGAAACACCTCGATAAGGCCCGAGCACATTGCACAGACCTGGGCATTGCAAGGGGCAGCTGCATGAGAAGTGAACTTGCGTGCTGTGCGGTGTGGGTGCCCTGACACAGAAAAACAAGGCTTTTAAGACGTGTGAATGCTTGAGGAAAAGTTATAACTTTCTTAAAAGACAAAAGTGTATTTTATCATGAATTCTAAGGAAATTATACTTTTACAATCAAATCTGTCTGTGGTAAGCAGTGCTCACATAAAAGGTGTTAAAGAATTCCAGTGTTCCCCTGTAAGGGCTTTTCCACATGTTCGTAATTTCCTAGTTTTGGAAGGTTTTGAGACAACTGTTATTAATTAAAAAGGGAATCATTTTGTTACAGGCTTTTAAACTGCCAAGTTAGAGATGCTCTTTGCTGTCTGTTTAGGCATGCTGCTGTGGTTGTCTCATCCCTGTCAGTATATACAAATTATTTTACTTCCACTGCTCTTTTTCCACAGCAAAGGGACTCAGTCAGTCTCAAAGCTTTGAGTCTTTAAAACAAATTCCTGTAAGAATTTATGAGATTTAGGCAGATGTTTTGTGTTTAAAAGGTTAGAAATACACAACATAAAAAACAAACAAAAACATGAATATAATTCTTTCACCATGTGACATTTTTATGGAACATATACATATGTATGCACACTTATTAATATAATATGTCAAATTAGAGGTTCCCACCTATATGCATGTGCCAGCAATTTAATATAAATGCAGTAAATAACACTTCTACCCTGCAATGAGGTGTTATAAATAGGATGTGTGAAGAGTTGTTCAAACAGCTCAGGTTTCCGAAATTTTATAGCGGCTAACCAGTGCAGAAAAGCCTGCTTTTTAATTTTGTTTCTCGGGGCTAACCAACTGACGCCTCTTTGTAAGGCCTTGTATTTCAACAAGCCCACAAAAGCCCCAGTGCTGGGTTCCAGTCTCCACTGGCTTCTGGAGAACACTGTGTACCATCAGCAACTTCTGTCCCACTGCGCCTGGCCCGGCTTCATCTGTCAAACCCAGGGCGAGCGGGCGGGCGAGCGGGGGGGGGGGGAGAGAGAGAGAGGAAGCTCCCAGATAAACATACCGCAGCGCCTAAACTCCTAATCACTCTGTGCTTCCGTTTCCAGGCTCTATAATTAGAAGGTCTCCTTTTCCATGTATTCCCAGTTGACGCAAATGCTTCTTGTGGCTTGGCACCTCATTTGGGGCGTGGGTTCACTTTATGGCCAGGCCGTAGCCTGGTTTAGTCTTCTGATACAGCATAAATAGCTAACCACCATCTAATTCACTACCCGTTATGTTTCCTTTTCATGTGTGCAATCTCAGTATTCCATTTTTTTTTCATTTCCCCTTAAAGAAAGACGACATCCCTTCCATGACCAAGCAAGCCTGTATTTAAGTGGTGTGAAAAATAAGAGGCTGGTGAAATGAAAAGTAAATTAATTTATCTATGCCAAAACCCCTTCTCTGTGCTTTTTGTTTTGTTGCCGTTTTTTATTTCTCTTAGACGGTTATTAATTTCTGTTTTTCTTACACCATTTCACCTCCTTTTTTACATTTGACAAACCACGCAGTAAAGCATTCCACTAAACTTTACCACACCCTCAGCATTAAAAGATTAGAAGTAGGAAAATTACTAATTAGTGTTGTGTTAAATTATGGCCATGAGATTTAAAAAAAAACTGGAGCTAAATCATTTGTGAAATATTTTTTTTCAGTGCTTGTTTTTGCTTTTAAACTTCAGGCTTTCATAAAACGGGGAAAAAAACGTGCTCAATCTGTAATGCTTTGAGAATCATCAAGTATGTCTAGCTATATTTTAATGTATTGAGTTTAGGTTTTGGGCTGTCTTGATGTGGTCTTTGAAGAGTGCTCTTCAGTGTAAAAACTACAGTTTCTTCAGTTTTACATAGTTCAAATAAAATAAAAAAGTAGTCTTGTCATCAAGGGTTATATATCAATTTAGTTTTTTTTTTGAAGAAGTACACATACAGTTTATGACTATTTCACTGGGAAAAGACTATTGATAGGGAAGTTGTCACTAATTGAAATTGTTGAAATAATATCTTGATTTGAAAAAAATAGTGTAATGAAAAGCAGGCCCATGAAATGTGACTTTTTTAATACCATTGGATCCCATTTTAAATATATGTCAATATAGTACTGTTAATATAACTGGTAACTGTGATGCAGATTCCTTGGAATGCATTTGGATGACATGGCTGGGTTGTGTTCATTGGGTTGAGCAATTTTATAGTATAGATGTTTAGAACAATCAATGGTAAATAGTCATTTTTCTTCTAGGAATGTTGCTTGTAACCGCTGACACGCTGGGCCATGATTTCCATGTCTTTCAAATCCTGACACACCCGTGGTCGTCTTCCCAGAGTGCCGTGCACCACCTGTACACCTTGCACCGCGGCGAGACTGAGGCCAAGGTAGGTTATGCTCTCCTCTGTAGGGATTCCCTGCACAGGGATAGGGAATGAGGAAGGGAGTTACAGCGTTACATACATTCCTACCTGATGACATAAAGAAAATTTAAGGTTTCCGAAATATCTTCAGGGAAGAGAGAGGGAGAATTTCTCAGTAATTTCAGACCAAAGTGTTACATTAAAGAGAGCCTTAGCTCACTTGACAAGGTAAGTGAATCAAAATAGTTTAAATAGCTCACATGTGAAACATGGGCGCTGCCATCTTGTTAAGGCCGTTTGCAAGCCATGGATTGAAATCCACAATGAGATTGAACCAGAAGTGATGTCAGTTCAGCTTGCCCCACGCCAAGAAGCTTTTCTGCTTTGCTTATTCAACCATCTTTCAATGTGCAATTTCCATGGTGTAAATAGTGATTCTTTAAATTTTGACCATCAAATGTGTCTATCAACATGAGGCATATCAGTTTTAGCCATCAGCTGACATTGTTTGGCAAAAATTATGCGTCATTGTTTGCGGGAAATTATATTTTTACCTCCCACATCTACTCCTTTAAAGCATTGCTATTTTTTTTTTAATTTCCATACAGGGGACACAATTTAGTGTGGATATAAAGTCAAATAGAATAGATTTGGAAATTTTCATACGATTTTATTTGGGTGAATCAAGTATTTTAATTTGTGTGACTACGAATATTACATAATTAATGTACAGCAGGTGCTAGAAAGTTCTGAGTTCTGTGAGGTATTTCTAATTAAGCGATGGCTCCTTAAACCTGCTCCCATAATTTGTGTTTTGTAAAAGTGTTTATTAAATTGGAAATATTGAATTGCAAGTGTTCCCTCTAAATACTTTTTTTTTATCCTAAGGCCACTCGGTATTTTAATCTTTACTGCTGTTCTCTGTTCAGTGATAATGGAAATCTGCATTCATTGTGTGCTTTTCATCATCTCTTTAAGTGTTTTCCAAATTGTGTCAAGAAAAGCTTCTTTCATAATAATAATAATTCAATTTACTTACACTTATATCGCGCTTTTCTGGACACTCCACTCAAAGCGCTTTACAGGTAATGGGGCCAATCTGCAGCATCCACTTGGATGATGCGATGGCAGCCATAGTGCGCCAGAACGCTCACCACACATCAGCTATCAGTGGGGAGGAGAGCAGAGTAATGAAGCCAATTCATAGATGGGGATTATTAGGAGGCCATGATTGGTAAGGGCCAATGGGAACTTTGGCCAGGACGCCGGGGTTGCACCCCTTCTCTTTTCAAGAAACACCCTGGAATTTTTAATGATCACAGAGAGTCAAGACCTCGGTTTTACGGCTCATCTGAAGGACGGCGCCTGTTTACAGTATAGTGTCCCCGTCACTATACTGGGGCATTAGGACCCACATGGACCGCAGGGTGAGCACCCCCGCAGCAACCTTAGCTTCCAGCAGCAACCTTAGCTTTCCCAGGAGGTCTCCCATCCAGGTACTGACCAGGCTCACACCTGCTGGGCTTCAGAGGGTGGCCAGTTGTGAGTTGCAGAGTGATATGGCTGCTGGCTACACACTGAAACTAAGCACTATATCATGGGCAACATAGATGATTTTGCTGAGCACATCACACTGCATTTTCAACAGCTGGTTTTGTTTCAAAGTAGAGTTTTATTGTGAGGTCTAAAATCACTGAAAAATATTGTGAAGAAAGCTTCTTATTGTGTGAATGTGAAGTATGATTTTCTTAATTTGTAGAGTTTCTAGTTTGTACTGAAAAGTCCTGTATTGCCAGACAGAATCCAGAATTATATTATTCCTCCATGTCAGCGTGTTTCAACATATTTCACCTAATGTTTAAGCAGAAAGGAAAGGAATTTTAATATTAACTTACAGTGCTCTGAAATCAACATAAAAACTGGTCATTCAATGGAAGCATTTGTGTGTTTAATTATATGCAACTGCTTTTCTCTTCCATAGTTTATGCATATTATTCCCTGATGAGGAAAATCTAATGTGACCAGACAGAGATAAAGCTTGAGAAGCTGACATTACGTTTTCTTTCAGCTAATCACATTTGAGGTTCAGCAGAGCTTTTCTTTGAAAAATGGCAATCATTAACTTTACTTTCAAAAGTTATGATTCTTTTCCTGCCAGATAAACCCACTTTTTTTATAGAAATCTGCTGCAGCTGAGTGTGGGGAGATTTATCAGCCGCAGCTCCAGTGTGCTTCCTTGCATGAGCCTGCTCTGGAACGCACCGTGTCCTGTCTTCAGAGAGACAGTAAATTCTGCAGAGACCAGACACTGTGCTCCTCAGCCCCAGGAGGAAACTACCTGGGAAATCCATTCCTTTATTTCATTTGAAGATGCAAAAACAGGCTTCCCTGTTTCCTGAGCTGTAGAATTTGGGAACCTTACAGATCGTAATGATGTCTGCCAAGAATGAGTGCACTGGCAATGTGTTAAAGCTCTCCAGTAAGATATGAAATACAGTATCGATTTATTTATGGCCAAATACTTAATCGTTGAATCCAATTGGAATGAACAGCTGTATTGCATGTTGTTTGATTTTTAACATTGTGGTAGTAAACCCCAGAAAAACATCAGTGAGCATTTTGCTGTTATTACAGTTATGGTTAAAGTCTTGATATATGAGGCTTTTATTTTATTCATACATACTATGAGGTGATTACTACTGTACTGGTCTAATTCGCACTGAAACTAAATTCATAGGGCCTGTTCTTCTGATAATAAGCTAATCTAGTCTAATTAAATTTGCTTTTAAGGCTGTAGGTTTGTGTCCCCTTAAAGTCTGTCATCCTTAAGGTTTATTTTTTTCCATAAATAAATGCTGTAGCCCACATAAGTGCTTTGATGCTGCAGGTAATGTGGTGCTCCTGCTGTCTTCCAGGCAAAGCTCATCTTCTTGCCAATGCTAGGAGTCTAGTATGTGAATAATCAGAAAAGCTTTTAATATGAGGAACATTTCCTTTCACACCCATGGCAAACCAAGAGGGTTCATCCCTAGAGGCTTAGGAATTTTATACCTGTGAATGGGGGTGGGATCTTGCCATGCAACGCATCAAGAAGTCACTCATGCATATTTGGTTGGAAAACTCTCTCGTTTCTTATTGTCACTTTTTTAGACTTTCTGCATGTGACACCAATTTCCTTCTGAGAGCTGCCATGATGGGCTGAGCTTGGGAGGGGGATGACAGAAATATTCTTTTGTACAAAAGTGCTGTGGTGCGGTGCCAGCTTCAGTTTATTTACTCACATGCTACAGCACATAAAATACATCTCCGCCGCAGCATGATGATGTTTGAAAAATTCTCTTTGTTCATCATTTGATTTTTAATTCGAGGCATGGAAGTGGTGCAATTAGAGTGGGTGTAAAGTAGACAAATGTCTACCCAGGGAGAGGCGTGCTGGCTGTCTAACAGCTCCCATGACATTACAAGTATCCAGCGTCAGAGTAGTGTTGGCGCCTGCGTTTGCCAAAAGAATCTTCTGCTCCATCAAAAAAAATGTAACTCTGATATGGCGCTGTAAGCGAATTGAAAGATTTGCTCCACTTTCCTGCCTGTGGCTCTTACAGGTGAACGTTCAAATAAGTCTTGAATATGTGAGGAGTTTTACTACTCCCTTTCAGCTATCTTTCTCTTCTCTTTTGACCTCTGAATCTAGCTTGCTCTTCTTTCCCCTGCGTCTACCCTACGTTCTCTTTATTCTTCATTCTTTCAGGGCAGAACCTCTGCAAATTAGTCTTTTGGGACTGTGTTTGGGCTTTGTGTCATTTTTTTCTTACCAGTAATTGTGGAAAGCAACAGCAACAAAAGAAAGAAAACAAGTAAAACTTACAAAATAATACTTAACCTCTTTGCTTTTCCCTTTTATTTTTGGTGCCTTTTTTCTATAAAAAATGTAAAAAACAAACAGTGATGCATTAGCTCAAAGATAGGTAATTTCCTCATGATGTGGGCTTACCCATATGCTGTGAAAACGGTTCCCTGATTATTAAGGTGCGTTTAAAAGTCTCGCTGCCCTATTTACGCCCACGTGGCAACCTCAGCCCGGAAATGCAGGTAGGAGGGCAGGCGAGATGGTGATGAGATAATGGCAGTCTGATAACAGGAGCTCGGATGGGCCGGGAGGGGTCACGTTGTCTGGGTACAGGAGCTGGGGCCAGAGATGATAAACTGGTCAGCAGGCTCCTCAAAGGAACCACTGTGTGTCTGGGTTTACCTTCCTCACTGAAAATGCAGTGAAGTGAAAAGATTGCAGCTTATTTTTTAAGATTTTGTTTGGGCAGTTTTCAGTTCACGCCTTTGCTATGTATGTGGAAAATAAAAGGGACTGGAGCCATTACGAAACTGCTGATAGTGAAAATCCTGGCCTGGGTCCACCCTAGTTATCTCTTATCTCTCTGCTGGCATATGAAGCCAGAATACTGTGTGGAATAAGGCAGTGTAAAAACTATCATTTACTTTACCTCTCAAAAAGCTATGTGCAGTGAACAACTGAATAATTCATCCTTAAATGGAGACCAGTATGTGGGGGGAAAAACCTGTTTCTATTAGACCATCCCGATGCCACAAACACCCCTTGGCTGTAGTGCCGTTAGTCCCTAATTGATCCTGCAGCACTTTACACACATGTACAATGGTGTTAACCTCAGCGTCCCAGCATAATTGCTCCGCAGAAGCTGCAGCTATTTCTCATGCTTGGCAGATGTTAGGAAGTCTTGAAAGCATGCATGCAGTGATAGGACCCTGCATATACAGTATTAGCGTCTTGGCTTAAAAATAAATAAAATCATTTTTTATTCAGGGCTTCATGCTTTTTTGTGTGTAGGGAGATTCAGGCCAGCTAGGGGATGTTTGTTCATTGTTTGATAAACAACTTGTCTCGAAACCGCTCCGAACAGGAAATCCTTCTGGCAAAATCATAAAATAAAATCTTCTTATTGTTATATGTAGATGCTAAATGCTTGTTTATCTGTGTGGTAAAGTGTATAAAA